AAGATAAACTTAGAAAGAAGGCAGAAGATCTTCAGAAACAGAAGGAAGAGCTACAGCGGCAGCACGACCAGCTTCAGGCTCAGAAACAAGAGCTTCAGCAGGTACACTTACGAGAACAGATTTTCTTTTTTTTCCCCCCCCTTTTCTGTATCCTTATATATGTGATGGCTCATGACAATCCCCAGCTCTGGAGCATTCTTTACCTTGATCTCTCATACAAGTCCCAGCTGAATTCTAAACTAATGGTACCACAGCAAAACATAATCTAGTATTCAGGATTATAGCAAACAATGCAAGCATCTCAACTCGGTAGTATACCCATTAACAAAGACTTTACATAATGACTGCAAAATTTCTTTTAAGTGTATTCATATATGTCACAGCTGAGAAAGGGGACAGATTTAAGTTTTTCAACTATGGTATTTTATTTTTCACCAGGTTGTTAAACAGATGGAACAAAAGAAACTACAGCAAGGAAATCCTCCTGCAGGACCAGCTGGGGAACTGAAATTCCAACCTCGTATGTATCTTTCTGTGTAGATACACAAACTTTAAAATAAGATCTTCAACGTAAAGGTCATCCTCTGTGGCAAATTTACCAGCAGTTGGGCACAAAGTGACATGTCAAGTTAGTTTTAGTATGAATGACCAATTGCTTCAACACCCTCAGAAGAAAACAGTGTCATAGTAAGTCATTGCATTTGCTCGTTGGTGGCAACAAAATGGTCAGGTATATATTAGCACTTCTTATCCATAACACATTGTCCATGTTTCTCTTGTGTTTTAGAGTCTCCACTCTCCCATACATCCTAACTTAGCTTTTTCTCCCCCTCTAGAAAGGTTTAAACTAATACGGCTTTATTGGCTTCCATGTTCATGTGCTAATGTTATCAGTAGAGCTCAAGAACTTCTTGACAGTCATCTCAAACTTAAGGCTTCGGACTGTATCCAGGCAGCCTTTTGAATAGTGGAAGGTCTTAACTGCTCCTGCAGGGCCAACAGCGGGATTTCAAACCTTAAATGCTTTATTCAGTGATTACAGGTCACTTTGAGTATCCTGAAATTCTATCCCCAAGCCACTCAGTTCTGTGAAGAGAAATAATGACATTTCAGTACCAGTTTAATTTTGTCTTTCATTTCAAAACTGCCTATGGGTAATTTCATTTTATGATCCTTAGTTCCGAGAGCCTCACTTCTGCTTACCTTCAAAAAAAATGTCACGTGCAGTAGCAGATGCCCTGGGAGTTGGACTAATGATACATCTTTTGATACTGGCAATATTATAGCAGATACTGTTCTTAACACACATGTTATTTTATGCAAAAACTTTCCGCAACATCATGTAATCAGGTGTCATAAGAATTCATTGTATTAGACAGAACTATTCACTACTTATTCACTGAGTTAAGGAGATCCACGTAGACAATATTTCTAATCTGTAGGCTGGAGCTACTAAGGGTAAATGAAGGGGGAGGGTGGAAATCACAAAAATGCAGCTCCAAGTTATGAAATCTTCAGCAAACTATGAAAACTAGTATTATTCAAAGGTAGGCAAAGGGAGAATGTTCTAAGTTTTGTCAACGCAGTGAGGAGTAAAATACAGGAGCAAGTTGATTTGTTTTGGTTTTTTTTTCCCAAGCTTCCCATATTGGGATTAAAGGTTTCAGAAGCACATAATCTATTTCAGAAAGAACAGTCTCCAAAGAACCAATGTTCTTTGTAAGTAAAAACATTTCACAGAAAACAGAAACAACTAGCAATCTAAGAGGAAACTGAATATTATAATGCAGTCTATTGGGTAATCTCAATCCAATTTCATTGTTAGTCACTTATAAAATTCTTGATTCCACTTACCAACCAAAAGTAGAAAGTTTTGTTTCATCACCCCTACACTAGAAACTTCCTTTAGAGACTTTTCATGTTTTGGGGCCAGCTTAATTGAGAAGTTACAAATGGTTTTATTCTTTTTTTACAGCTGCGGAGCCCAAAGTTGGAGATGCACCAAAGCATCCTGCAGGAGGTGATCAGCCTTTACCACCAGGACATGTCCAAGAACAGGCTGCTAGAACTGATCAAGTTCACCCTTAACCACTTGTGCCTCACCTTTATAGCATCTTTATTTCTTGGGGGGGGGTGGGGGGGTGGGCAGGAAATCAGAGTGAAACATGAACTCTCCACTTTCTTCCTGAGGTTGTAAAATCTTGGGGAATGTTAGAGATGAAGTATCAATCGGATTTGAATAATAAATTAAACTAATTTTCTCTCCAGTGCATCAGTGAGAAACACAACAAGGGGATCATTAAGAGGCTATAATGGAGAAGGGAATTAAGAAAACTTAATACTAAAGGT